TTTGCCTTCCCCTGCAAACAGAGCTGCCCCAGCACAGGGACGAGCAGAGCTCAGGATCACAGCCTGTCAGAGGCACGATAAAAACATGATGTACTTCAGCCTACAGAATCTTATTAGTTCCTCATGCAAAGAGTGTTCACGCCGTAAAACCGTCTTGGAATCCCTTTGATCCACGCTGATACAGTTTATAAATTGATGTTAATATTTAGAGTTCATGTCTGGTAATGCTGCAGCCATTTGCTCACATTTTCTTGCCAGCCAAGCAGGCGCGGGAGCGAGAGCAAGCTGTAAGGCAGGCAGGAGATGACCCAGTGATTAAGAGCTGATGAAATCAAATGCAGTCTGCAGAGCTGCCCCAACACAGCCACCTCGCCAAAAGATGTTACGTCTGGGGCAGGCAGAGCGAGGCTGCCAGGGGATGCTGCCGCTCCTGCCCAAGCACTGACCCACATCTCTGTACAGCATCTCTAAAGAAGAAAGACTCCAGGCTGAGCAAATGGTCTGATTTCAAAGCAGCCCATTCCCCCATTGATTTCAGGGGGGCTGGTGAGGCGGGGACCAGCTGGGGAGCACAGCAGCCTGGTTGCTCCCGGGGGATGCTGAGGCATGGAAACCTTTGAGACTGGAGCCTTTCCTCCATTCTTCTGGTGCAAAGTGGGGATGCTTCATTTGTAAATCAGTGAGCGTCTCCAGATTTTCCTCACTGCAAAGCAAAGCCCAGCACTGGGCAATTCCCCACCGCCCCCATCTCTCATACTGCTCATTTCTATGCGAGCGCATGCGCAGCACGTGCTGAGCCCACACGAGCCAGCACCAGAGGAACCAACCTAATGCCTGGTCACCTCTGAGGGCTGCACAAGATTGAGCAGGAGATGTCAAAAGCAAACAATTTAAAGCAACAAATTTAATTAAAACCAAAATGAGAAGTTGTTGCAAGCCCAACAATTGCAGACTGCAGAGCTCTGTCGATCTTTGGGGAAAATTAGCAGAAGCTGCTAATAGCAGCATCCAATTCCAGTGGCGTCTTGAAGGAAACAGTTGTGGAGGAAAAGAAATAAATAATCTTCAGACAAAACAATTACTGATCAGGTGCGTGACAATCTCACAGTGTCATCATTCAGGCAGGCAGATGCAGATGCACGAAGCTTGGAAAAAAACAGCCACATGCACGGCTCCCTCCACCTCACCAGCTCCTTGGACCCACTGTGGGTTTCACAGTCACAAGTAGCAACGCCCCATTCTGGTGCTCACCTGGCTTCACCTGCCCTATGAGAGCTGTGCACAGAGGTGCTCGGTTTGCGTTCCTTTCCCTCTCCTTGCAGGAGCTGGAGGAGGACATCCCCACATTCACCCCCAGGCTGGAGCTGCAGCAGCAGCCACTGGTGCTCTCAGCAGAGCTGGCTGCATCACAGCTGCACAGGCTCTGCTCTGACCTCCATAAACCACAGTGACCTGAGCTGCATGACGTCCCAGAGGCATCACCACATTTTCTCTGGCACACGTCTCCCACAAGGAGGGGAGAAGGCTGTAAATGCCCTGAGATGTCTTTGAAGTGACAGAAGGCTGCTTTATGTCCTTTGCTTTATTTCCACTTACAACATGAAACCCTACAAGCCCCTGGCTAAATGTAGCTCTTCCTTCCTTCCGTACGCAGCGGTGGACCTCGCTTACCTCTCCCACTAAAGTATCCAGATACAAACATCCACCCACACCATATATAACCCCTTTGCAGGCTGTAAAAACGGGAAGCTTTAATTGATACTATATTTCAAACTGCTGTGCAGCAAGGACATACTCCAGGCTAAGTCCTCTAGGGTATCTTTCTCCATCCCTGCTTTCCCTGCAAGCAGCTCCCATTGCTCTCCTTCTCTATTTTTTGAATGATTACTTACAAGAAAAAAGTCCCCATGAATGCACAGAGCTGAGTGGCTAACATATTCCTAAGGGGTTTTATTGCTCAGATGGAGGGGCTCTCTTTTCTTTTTCCCCACTTTGATGCTGCTAAATGTTCCTCTAAATAATGCTTTGCATTTCCAAATCCTCATAAAAGCCACCATGAGCCTTCCCATCAATTCAGGCTTGCTCTGAAGTGGGCACGGTGCCTGCTGCTGGGTGCAGCCAGAGGATGCCCGAGCTGCTGCCATGGGGGGGACAAGATCCCCTCAGCCTAGAGAAAGGGGAGGAGGATGCTGCAGAGGATGGGGCACTGGGCAGAATGATCTAGTGACTGGCAACCCTGCCCAAAGCAGGAGATTGGAGCTCAATGATCTTTACGGTCCCCTCCGACCTAAGCCATTCTATGATTCTGTGGATGCTGCAGAAGGGGGCAGATGATGCTCAAGTCATTTTAGGAGGAAATGGAAAAGAAATGTTCCTATCCTCGCTGGTTTAACAAAACGTCTTGCAGCATGAAAAGCAGGGACAAAGCAAGTGCCTTCCTCGGCCCCACAAAGCAGTGTGCTGCAATTGGGGACTGATGGGCACAGACGTGTTCCTGGGGGGCCCCCAGTCTCCCCCTGCCAGCACATGGCAGAGTGCAGCAGCTTGTGCCAGGTCCTTGTGTAGCTGGCTGCCCTGGAAAATGAAGACAGAGCAGCTGTACAAACCAGGCAATAATTGTTCAGAGGGGAGAGGAGAGGGGGGGAGAACCCATCAAATGAACAAAAGGAGGAAAATGAACCAAGAGAGAGAAATAAGGGCAATAGAGACAGGCTGGTTATTAATACTGCTGCTGGTAATCTGTTCTCCCAGCCTTTGCTGCCAGTTGGCTCCTGGTCCCAGTCCTTCCCCCCTCCTCTTTCCATTAGTGACTCCAACAGGCTTGGGAGCTCCTTTTCCCATTGCTGCTGCTGGCTGCAGGAAGAGCTTCTCTCCTTGGGAGCTGCAGACATGCTGGGGCCGCTTCCCTCCCTCCTCTCTCTTGGCTTCGGATCCTGGCGCGCCAGAGCTGGCCCGTGTCTATTTCAAGTTTCCTTCAAAGCTGAGCCTTCATCTGTTAGAAGCAGGATGGCTTTCAGCCTGTCTTTCTTTGGCCTTTCCTGCAGAGGTGCTGGTGGCCTCTTTCTCGGCTGTGAGATTTTCCTTGGCTGCTGGCATCTATTGCAATGCTGTCATCAAATGGGAATTAGTGGGCACCCTTCTGTCATGCAGGAACATCTCCAGAGAATGCGCTGCCCTGCACGCTCACCTAGCCTGCCTCACCATCATGCAAATACAAAGGAGAAGAGCTTAAGGATCCAGACTGTTTAAGAGCACAACAGAATTATGAGCTGCTAGGTGCAGCAGGCTTCAGCCTGATCCAAGCTCCCAGCTTCATTAGGGCCGTGCTCCTCCCAGCTCCACGTGGTGATGCCCATGTCCCCAGACCCAACATTTGGCAACCAGGTAAAAAGCAGCCCCACGCGTTTGGAAATGAACCCAAAAAGTCACCCGGGTTTTTAGAGAGGAGCACAGCCCCTGTCTGCCACCAGGACAGGATCTCTGGTGCCGAGCTGCACCCCATCTCTGCAAACACAGCCAGCAATGTTTTCCTTGGTGCCACTACAATTTCCAAACCGGGCTCAGCTCAGTGATGCCTTTAAATGTTTCACAGTATTTTGCTGCCAGTTTGGTGCTGCTTTGGGATTTGTTGTTATTCAAATAGAAGGGACAACTTTAAGAGCTTCTCCCTTCCCAGGCGAAGGACTCTGCCACCGCATTAAATGATGAGATTTCAGTAAAACTGATGGCCACTGCAAAATGTCTTCGCTGCTTCTCTGTGAAGAACTTGACTGTTCCTCATAAAGAATATTTTTAAAGTTTTTGCAGTTTGTAATTATATTTTACAGTTTCATTACAAAGCTCATTTTAATTCTTCTCCAAACCGTTTTTACCAGTCCTCCTGCCACTTTCTCTTTAGAAAAGTCATTAAGTCGGAACTGGAGATCATCCCATTTCCCCCAGTTTTGAGGATATTAATCTGTTTTATTGGTATTTCACTGTCGTTTCCATTTGAGTGTTCTCCGTATTTGCATAATTTGCACTGCCACTCCCTTCCTGGTGACAAGCACAGGCTCAGCTTTTCATTTCAATTCTAAGCAGCCGCATTACGTTTTATTTCAGCTTTCGAGCCCACAGTGCCTCTCCTGGGCTAGAAGTGCCATCCCAAAAGCATCCTTAAAGGCACAGACACACGGATGTGGTGAGGCTCAGGCTGGGCAGAGCTCTGTGTTACAGTGCAGTGACTTCCTACATATGCATACTAACTCCAGGAAGAAACCAACCTTAGTAAGGATGAAACCCATTTTAAAAAGATTGTGGAACTCCTCTATGTCATGGGGCATTGCTTTAAGCCCTGCTCCTTCCACCACCACTGCACCTCTTCATGTACACTCCTATCCCCAACATATTCATTCCCTGCCCTCCTTCCTGACCCCAGTGTGGGGCTGGGTGCTGTGGGTTCCTGGCAGGGAGAAGCTGCACCCACCTTCAGCATGCCCCGAGCAGCACGGCAAGCACGGGAGCTGAGCAATTGGAACCGACTGAATAATGGCTTTCGTTGGCTGGAAGAAAATGAAATTTGCCCTCGTCTTACTGAAAACTTGCACTTGACGCTCGCTGCACATTATAAAGAAAAGGTCAGCGAAACACAACAAATGCAAGGAGCCCAGTCAGAGAAAGCAATAAATAGTGACAGCAGCCCTTGTCTAATTTTTCAAAGCATCTCTGCCTTGGCTCAAACACTAGAAATTCCACTATGTGCTGCTGCAAGGGGCTGAGACGAGCAGCTCAGCTGCTGCAGGACAGGAGTTTGTCTGTGCTGCTCCCAGGCCTCATCGACAAGCCCAGGGGAAAACAGGAACATCCACCAGATATGTACAGTGATAACAACAATACAGCTGCAATGTAGAAGAGGCAAGTTTAGCTCCACGGTGCGGTCCTCTTGCTGAGTGCATACTTAAGGAGGTTTTAGGAGAGCTGTGAGGAGGGGTTAAGGGGTGGGGGTGCCCATGGGCTCTCACCATCAGCAATGAAGTGCTCGGGGACATGAAGTGTCACCTTGACAGTCAGCGGACAGGAGAGCTGCGAGCCACACACCATGGCCAGGATGCAGGAGCTGACGGCAATCAGAGTCAGGGCTGTCTTGTTGACAGGGCTTTTCATCGAACCTGGAAGGCAGAAAGAGAGGTGGGAGCCACAGGAGGGACTGACTCGAGCCTCAGCCCCAAAGCTCCCCAGTTTGCACTGCCAGGACCAGAGCTCCTGGAGCCTTCCAACCCCATCCTTCCCATCACATTCTACCTGTGGTCCTGCAGGGCCCACCAGCCAAGATGCAGGCAGTTTTCATCAGCCTGGGTTTATGTGGCAAATTTTATCAAGTCACAAAAACACCCAACCCAAATCCAAGGGCAGCCAGCACCAGAACACCATTTCTTCTCACTTAGCACCAGGAGAAATCTATGCCTGCAGATTTTACATAGCATCAATGAGTGTTAATTATTTACACAATCATGTATAAACATTCAGTCATCACACAGGGACTGGGATGAACAACAAAGCAATCTACAGAGCCAGTCACTTTTTACAGGCAGCAGATATTACAAAAAGAAGTTTTATTTTGTCAGTCACAGAAGCTTATGGTATCTTCAGAAAAGCAGCTCATGGGAGGGTTTGCTGCAAGTGCCAGCTTAATACTTCCCGGCACAAAGAGGAGCCTCTGAAGCTGGCACCTGGATGGGATGTGGTCACCTGTCCCCAGCTCCAAGACCATGTGCTGGACATCAAGGCTAAGGGACAGCTGCGTCGAGAAGCCATCCATGGGGACATTCCTTAACCTCTCACTGCTCTGTGCGTGCCTCATACCTGCACACGTGGCCAGCCTTGTCTGTTGCTTTGTGTTTTATTCTCTTTTTTTTTTTAAACCAATGGAATTACAGAATCAGAGAACCAAGATAGCTGGATAAGATCTCCAACAGATCACCATGTCCAACCAGCAAACTGACCTCATGAGACCTGCTGTGGGGAGGGCTGTCAACCACTAACTAGATCAAGCAGCAGATCAGGTTGCCCAAGGCCCAATCCAACCTGGCCTCAAACAGCAGGTTTAGAGAGTGACAGTCACCAGCAGCATTAGGATGAATGAATCAGGTCTGCTACAGCATAGTGGGGCAGACCCAACCCCAGGCAATGCAGGGGAAGGATGTGAGACCAGGTACAGAAGCCACGCACAGGAGAGACCCAGCTGTCCCAGGAGATGCTCTTGCTCTGAGCAGACTAGGAGCACATGAGCCACACTCTGCTGACAGAGGGGACCAGGAGAAATGTTCTTCAGCCAATGCTACCCACCCACAAGCACAGCCCCAGCATCCTGGCTCCAGGGAAGCACCAACCCGAGATCTGCTCCATGGCTGCACCACTGCTCAGGATTCAGGCGAGGACGCATCCTTATCTTTGGAATCAAATCCAGCTCCCTGCTCTCACTCTTTCATCAGCAAAGTGAGATTTAAAAAGCATCTGCTTGAAAATTGAACGGGAAATGCATCCAGCGAGTTAGCACTCGTGTGTTTCACCCTATAATTTGATCAAATCCGCTTAGAGATGCTGGTGCCAGAGCAAGGAACTGGCGGAGCCCAGGGCACAGCCTGTGCTTTCCAGGCAAGCAGCATGCCTCACCAAAGCCTCCCTGCTCCTGGCATTTGCAGGACAGGAGGAGTGGCTGATCTGCTGGAAAACACCCCATAGCCCTGTGACAACAGGAATAGCAAAATGATTATTTATAAAGCATCTTCTACTTCCCTTACACATGCAGCATCTAAACAGCTTTCCCACTATTTCACAGCTTTAACACCCATCTCTGCCCTTCACCCCTCAACGCCCTTTTTTCCTTCCCAATCTTTATTTGTATCATCAGCATAAATTAGCACCTCCAAACTCATTTCCTCCCAGGACATACTGTGCCTGCCACAGACCCAGCTTTTGGTTGGAGTTATGATACTCATGCAAGAAGAAAAAAAAAAGATGGAAAAAAGCTGCTATCGAGATAATTGGACACAGTCAAGTATACAATAGAACAGAGAACACTGGATTTTACCATTATAAATCACCTTTCAATCCAGGGTCTTAAAGTGCTTTGCAAACATTAAATCACAAATCCCTTATGAGTTAGGGGAGTATTATCCCCTTCTCACAAAAAGCCTGAACCACAGGTATGTGTGGCAGCCTTCAGCACCCTGCTGCAGAGCAGAGCTGGATTAGGGCTCTGGAGCTTCCCACCCCCATCCCATCCCCATCCCATCCCCATGGCTGCTTCTCTCCCAGTCACTAAGAGGAAAGGGGCACAGGAGCCTGAGCCAAACAAAAGCCTTTTCCATCCCCATGAGCATGAGCTTGGCTGCCCAAGGGGAGAACCACTGCTGCAGTTCTCCTCAGCTGCCTTCCCAGCTCCTCCCCCCCTCCCTTGTTTCCTTCACAGCGCTGATTACCGACCCCCAGAACTGCCTGCAGTTGGCTTTCACCAACTGAACCAAGGCTATGGGACTTCTGCTCGAGCAGCATTGTGCTTTCCAGCTCAGCTCTTTATTGCTCACAGACAGTTTGCTGCCAGCTGTAAGACAGCCTGATGGAAAAGCAGCTTCTTCCCTCGCTCCTTCAGCAGAAGGACGCTCCTGTTTTCCATCCCACCACTGATGCTCCAGCATAAGCACTCCTGCACTGTGCTCAAACACCCATCTGGAGGTAACCAGCTGAGCGGCAGCCCTCTAGCAACACAAATGTATTCTTAACAACCCACTGCTAACTAAACAAACCTCAACAGGTTCAGCAGGGCTGCGCGCTCCGGCTCGAGATGTGAAACAAAATGAATAATTCCTCCCTTGTCCTGGGGGTGGGATCCAACGCGGCTCAGCGCTGCAGGAGAAGCTGTGCTCGGGCACTTCCCTCCTCCCCCTGTGATCTCTGGGCTTCCAGGAAAGTGTTTAAATTGCAGATTTGCAAACGTGCTTGCACAGAACAGGCTGCTATCAGCCGTCAGCTACAGGAGAAGGTGTGGAAGGGAATGCACAACCTCCCCAGGTGGAAGATGGGACTCAGGAGCTCCTGAAGCCCCCAGTGCACAATCACAGTTTCAGCTTGTGGTCCAAAAAGCCCACAATGACGATTGCTGTGCTATGTCTGGGCACAGCCAAGACCAAGCTTGCTCCCTAGATTCCTAGCAAATTCTTGCTATCCTGAGATGCTCCTTCCTTATTTTTAATTAATCAGCTTTCTGCTGTGCCTTGGGTGGTTTTGGTGGAGCTCAGCCTTGGTTTTAGCCTAACTTGCAGGGGGAAAGCAATGGGGGCAGCTCCAGGAGCCCAACACCCAGCAGTGCCCACAACCAAAGGGGGACGAACCAGGAGGGTGGGCAGGAGGAATCACATCCTATCAAATGGGGAGAATCAACCTGCCAGGCTGTGCGAGGGAGACGTAGGGAAGAAAAGGGAACTGTGCTGGTGCTTGCAAAGCACCCCCTCCCCTGAACACTGTGCACCTCCTGCAAGATGAAGATAAATTCAAAGCCACTCTGCAAGCAGCCCCTCCAAATGCACCGTGCCTCCTATGAAATATCATTTGCTCGTGCAGTTAATTACTCACTGCTTTGTACACCTTCCCTTGCTCATCTAATGAACAAGGTGGGGGGGAAAGTACAGCGAAACTCCAGGCTCTTTTCTGTCTGACAGTGGCAGCGCTGCTTAAATCCAAGAAAGGGAGAAAGAAAAAAAAAAGGTAAGCTCAGACCACGTATGGATTTACAAGCAACACAAATATCCCGTGCTCTCCGTAATACGATGTTTCTAAATCAGGCTCATAAATACATACTTGGGAGATTAGTCTATAAAAAAAATAAACTTTAATTACCCCATCTTTATCAGCACACAGCCCTTAGTGTGAGCCACATGTGGGCGTTAAACGCCAAGAGCTTCGCAATCTTCCCCGCCCCCCCACGATAACAGCATAATACAGCATGCTTCGAGGCTACTCGAATATTAACATGCATTTCTGCCACCGGAGAAAGGCAAGCATAGGGGAAGCATTGCAAGAGCTGGGACTGCTTAGCAACACACAGCTAAGCTGCACAGCTGCCAGCACGGGCATGCCAAGCTGCGTGCCAGGAGCCACTGCATCCCAGTGCCTGCTGCATCCCAGTGCCTGCTGCATCCCAGTGCCTGCTGCAACCTGAGAATCCACTGCATCCCAGTGCCTGCTGCATCCCAGTGCCTGCTGCAACCTGAGAATCCACTGCATCCCAGTGCCTGCTGCATCCCAGTGCCTGCTGCAACCTGAGAATCCACTGCATCCCAGCACCCACTGCATCCCATCCTGGCAGTGCCAGCAGCAGCCCAGCTGCAGGCACCCGGGCCACAGAGCTCCGTGCACGGTGTGCCCATGCTGTGCGCTGCTTTTTGCACGTCAGACGAGTTCAGCACTCCTAATGATGCTTCTTTATGTTCCAGCAGAGGCTCATTAATACGGTACAACAGCGTTTCCAGGACAGCCTCACACACGGAAACATCTCAAGGTGTTTTACAAGCGGGAGATCATGTTAAATCAAATCAAATACCAATCAAGATTAGCGGCAGTGCTGGCAGGCTGCTCTCAGCATCCAGCACCCCACACTCCAGTCTCATCTCCCTGCCCCCCACCTCTGCCCCACGCTGGGTCCCTCGGGATGCACCTCTTCCCCCAGCCCTCCCTGCAGGGACCGCTCTGCCCCAGCGCCAGCATCCAGCAGGGGATGCACATCACTGCAGCAAGGTTCCCGACCAGTGTCAGCAGCAGATGGGGGAGATCAGATGCATCTGAATTTAGAGAGAATTTCATCTTGCTAAGAACACGCTGAATCACATTAATGCTATTAACACTTATGAATTACCCGCTGGCAATCAGCCAAGTGCAGGAGGCCACAGGAAAAGAAAACCAGGCTTTCAGGTGCAGGGGAGGCAGCAAGAGGAGGTCAAGGCTGGGTGGATGGGGCCAGTGAAATCGTGGGCCCAGGGCTAAGCCTGTACCCCAGCTCCTGCTCACGCCAGCAGTGCTGCAGCTGCTGATGTGCTTCTGGAGCGTTAATGCTCCTGCACTGAATAAACGCATTTGTTTCGTATTTATGCATCTGCTTCGTGTTTATGCAGTT